GTGACACTCCTAGAGCATCCTGGGCGGCACCAGGGGACATTTGGGTTGGAGGTGTCACTCCCAGGAGCATCCTTGGTGTCATCAAGGGACATTTGGGATGGAGGTGACACTCCTGGGAACACCCTGGGTGTCATCAAGGGACATTTGGGATGGAGGTGACACTCCTGGGAGCACCCTGGTGCCACCAGGGGACACTCAGGGCCACCCCTCCCGCTCCAGGGTGTCCGTAGGGGCCGAGACCCTGTTCTGCAGGGAAGGCTGCTCGGTGGCCGTGGACACCGGGGCCTCCTACATCACCGGCCCCGCCGGCCCCGTGTCCGTGCTCATGAAAGCCATCGGGGCCACCGAGGTGGCCGAAGGGGAGGTGAGTGACCGCCAGCCCCTCTCCGTGTCCCCCTGGCTGTGCCCGGCCCTGTCCCAGCGCTGTCCCCTCCCCTGCAGTACGTGGTGGACTGCGAGCAGGTGCCTCAGCTGCCCAACATCTCCTTCCACCTGGGAGGGAAAGTTTATGGCCTCAGCGGCCCGGCCTACGTGCTGCGGGTGAGTGTCCGGGATCCCCCAAATCACCACCCCAAAACCACCTTCCTTGCTCCCCCTAAACCCTTCTGTAGGGGGGAGGTGTCCACCTGAGCCAGGGCGAGCAGTCCCTGTGTCCTTGGGTGGTTTGGGGGGATTTTGCTGGGATTTGGGTATCAGGAAAGGCTGTTCACGCTGGAACAGAGGGAAATGGTCACCAAGAGTGACCAAATCCACATTTCCCCTCTGTTCCTCTCATTTTCACCTTGGGACAGCGAGAAATGGTCACCAAGAGTGACCAAATCCACATTTCTCCTCTGTTCCTCACATTTTCACCCTGGAATAGTGGGAAGTGGTCACCAAAGGTCCATGGTGGGCAAATCCACATTTCCCCTGCGCTCCCACCCTGATCAAAGCAGTCAGGATCCCAAACTGATCAAACCAGTCGGGATCCCACCCTGATCAAACCAGTCAGGATCCCAAACTGATCAAACCAGTCGGGATCCCACCTGATCAAACCAGTTGGGATCCCAAGCTGATCAAACCAGTCAGGATCCCAAACTGATCAAACCATTTGGGATCCCAAGCTGATCAAAGCAGCCCCTCGTGGGTTTCTCCGGCTGCTTTTGGAGCTGCTCCTGCTCCGGGCTCTGCCCCACGGTGGGATCCTCTCCCCACAGCCCTCAGCACCTCTGTGGGGCTCTGCAAAACCCAGAGGACCGCAGGGAGGTCACCCCCAGGCACAGGCTGGGATTTCTGGGGAAGGAGCTGGTCCCCATGATCCTCGTTTGGGACACCCCACAACTCCCGGAGGAAGGAGCACCGTGGCCAAGCAGGGGGCAGGGTGACACCGGGACCCTCCTCCTGTACCCTCCATCACCCGGGGGTCTCCTCGCAGGAACCCCAGCACGGCAGAGGGTGTGGGGCTGGGTCCCGGTGTCACTGTGCCCCTCCTCCTGTCCTCTCCATCACCCGGGGGTCTCCTCTCAGGAACCCCAGCAGGGCAGAGGGTGTGGGGCTGGGGCACGGTGACACCGGGACCTTTCCTCTGTCCCCTCCATCACCTCCATCTCCTTCCCACAGCAATCCCAGTACGGTGAGGACGTGTGCGTGGTGGCTTTCTCCGGGCTGGACATCCCCCCTCCGGCCGGTCCCCTCTGGATCCTGGGCGCCACCTTCATCGGTCACTACTACACCAAATTCGACCGCCGCCACAACCGCATCGGCTTCGCCACCGCCCGCTGAGGGTCCCGGGGCCGCGGGGACCGGGCTGGGGGTGCAGAACCGGCCCGGAGGCTGCGGGAGCCCCGGGAAGCAGCGAGAGAACAGCAGCTCCCTTCCACCTCCTCTCCAAAGGCTCCCAAAACTCTCCTGATCCCGCTGCCGAACCCCCGCGCTGCTTCCCGGGAGTCGAGCCCGGAGCGGCACCGGGAATCTCGCCGGGATCCCGCGGCCGGAGCGGCCCCTCCGGGCGAGTTTCGGGCAATTTTCGGGCGATTTTCGGGCGATGTGCGGTGCCAGGAGCAGCGCACAGGGATTTGCTGCTGGTGCGGCTGAGGGACGCTCTGGGAATTGTGTTGTTCCTAAATCGGGGGCAATAATCGGTGTTTAAGGATGGTTTTAGCCGGTGTCAGCCCTGCCTCTCTTAGTGAGTTTGATATTAAACAATTTAAAGCAACAGGAGGATGAGCCTGTTGGTGGTGCAGAGGGGGGGATCAGCCACCTTTATTTGGGGAACTGGGCCACAAACGTCCCCGTGCCAGCGGCCACCTCTTCATTTGTGCCCTTCCACCCCGCAAGGGCGCAACGCCCTCCGCAGCTCCTGCGGGCAAATCCAGGGCTCTGCAAAGCCCTTCCTGCAGATGGGACGGTGCCAGCAGCCCTGGGTGTCCCCTCGGGGACAGGGACACGCAGCTCTGCTGTGGCACTCCGGGGAGGGGACATTTCCTGCAGGACGGTGGCTCCTGTCCCAGGGTTGTTTCCATGAGAAAAGCAGAGGTTTTTCTCTGCCCTGGATGTGGTGATGCCCCTGGAGCTGGAGGGAGGGCAGGGCAGTGCTCCTCGCTTGGGGGGACATTCCCAGTTCCAGCCCTGCAGCCGCGGACCCCAAAGCCAGGGGAACACGGGCTGGCCTCCAGTTTGACCAGTTCAGGTGGCCGGGAGTGGGAAATCTGCTCCTGGGGCAGGGCCTGGAGCAAGTCAGGATCTCACCAGGGAGGAGCAGTTGCTGGCAGGAGCTCCTCACCCTCAGAGCTGCAGAGCTGAGGAACCCCAGAGCTGAGGAACCCCAGAGCTGAGGAACCCCAGAACTGACAATTCCAGGTTTGAGGAACCCCAGAACTGACCAATTCCAGGGCTGAAGAGCCCCAGAACTGACAATTCCAGGGCTGAGGAACCCCAAAGCTGAAGAATCCCCAAGCTGACAATTCCAGCGCAGAGGAATTCCCAGAGGTGACAATTCCAGGGCTGAGAATTCCCAGAGCTGACAATTCCAGCACCGAGAAATTCCCAGAGCTGACAATTCCAGGGCTGAGGAACCCCAAAGCTGAAGAATCCCAAAGCTGACAATTCCAGCACTGAGGAATTCCCAGAGCTGACAATTCCAGGTTTGGGGAACCCCAGAACTGACAATTCCAGCGCTGAGGAACCCCAAAGCTGAAGAATCCCAGAGCTGACAATTCCAGGGCTGAGGAACCCTAAAAATCTGACAATTCCAACATGAGGAATTCCCGGAGCTGCCAAATTCCCTCTCAGCTTCAGGGATATTTGGGAAAGGGAGCCCGTGGCTGCGGTGTGACCCTTCCAGCACCTCCCCCTAAGCTCCCAGCCCTCTTTCCAGCCCTCCCAGCCCCGATCCTCATCCCGGCCCTGCCCCACGGCAGCTCCAGAGTGGGGAGGATGTGCCTGGGGCGGATCTTTGTCCCTCCTGGGAGCTCCTCGGGGCGATCCGAGCTCTTTGTGCTGGGATGCGCAACCCCGGGGGGCTCCGGGCAGGGGAAAATTCCGAAATTCCGGCTCCTGTGGGTGGGATGTGGTTATTTCTGTCACCTCCAACGCCGGGGTGGTGGCAGCGGCTGTCGGGGTGGAGGGAAGGGACGAATATCTGCTCTCATCCAGCGTTTCCTGAGCCGGGAAGCAGCGGCAGGGAGGGATGGGACCATCAGAACAGAGCGAATCTGCTCAGGTCCAGTCTCCCCTTCCTACAGGAGGGAAATGCCACTTGGAAACACCCAAACCTCCTCCGCCTCACACTCCACAACCAAGGCCAAGTCTGGAGAAGACTCGAGGGGCTGCAAAATGAGCCGCGGCTTCTGCCACATCCCCCAGCTGGAAGAACCTGGGTTAAACCGGGCTGCTTTTGGGGGAGCCGCTTCTGTTCCAGCTCCGCGCACTCGTTTCGAGCAGCGGGAGCTCAAATCCACCCCAGCCGCTGGCGGGGCCCCTTAAGCCGGGCTATCAACACCTCTGATCGCCTCCTCGGGGGGAATTTCCCGCTGGATGCTGCGGCTCTGCCCGCGGGGCTCCGCCAGCCCGGATTAGATCGTTCCGGCCGAGCAATTAGGCCAAGCTCAGCCCAGCAAAGCGCGGCAGCAATTATGCCCATCCTATTAACGCTGACAGGGCTGGAGGTATTTTTAGAAACACGGGAAACTGCCCGGCGGGGTTTTTGTCCCCTCGCTCCGTTTTCTTAAATTATTTTTTCCCCAGGTTTCCACTGGATTTTTCTCCAGTCCGGGCTGGTTTCAGCTCCCAGCTGGGAGCTCCGGAGGGGCACTCTCCGATGTGACGCGGTTATTTCCTCTGATAATGAAGCCGCCTCCGGGTTCTGCCAGCGGGAAAATGCCGCTTTTCTTCACCCCCCAAACCCTTTCCCAGCCCAGCTGCGAATCCCTCTCTGCGTTATCCCGAGGGGATCCGTCCCGCCCGGAGCTCTGGGGATGGATGAGCGCATCCCGTGCGCGGCTCCTCGTCCTTCGTACCCCCAAAGGAGGGAGCGGGGGCTGCGCGGAGCCCCCCGGGGTGGCGGAGGGGTTCCGCTGGTGGGTGGGTGGGAATTGGGGTACCGGGGGCGATCCCGGTCCCGGTGCGGATCTTTTGGGGTTCCAGGAAGGGATGGGGAAGGCACCGGGCAGGAGGCAGCGGGTGCGGAGCGCGATCCCGGTGCGGGGCGGTGCCGGGGGTGGCTGAGGGGCTCCGGGAATGGGTGGGGGAGGCACCGACAGCAGCTGCGGGGTTTGGTCCCGGTTCCGGTGCCGGCCGGGCGAGGCTCCGCTGCCCAGGATGCCGTGGCCGGGATGCCCCGTCCCGGTGCGGATCCCGGCTCGGGATGCGGTCCCGGTCGGGCGCCGGGGCCCCGGTGCGGGTGGGACGCCGGTCCGGTGATGCCGGTGCGGGTGCGGCGGCCGGGTCTCGGTGTGCGGGGGGTGCGGGTCCCGCCCTGCCAGCGATGCCGGTGCCGGTAGGATGCGGGTGCCTGGTCCGGGATGCCGGTGCCGGTAAGATGCGTGTGCCCTGCCCCCGGCGCCGGTAGGATATGGACCCGCTGCCCGGGATGCCGGTGCCAGTAGGATGAGGATCCCTGCCCCCGGTGCCGGTAGGATGTTTATCCCCTGCCCCCGGTGCCGGTAGGATGCGGGTTCCTGTCCCCGGTGCCGGTGCCGGTAGGATGTTTGTCCCCTGCCCCCGGTGCCGGTAGGATGTTTGTCCCCTGCCCCCGGTGCCGGTAGGATGCGGGTCCCTGTCCCCGGTGCCGGTGCCGGTAAAATGCGGGTTCCCTGCCCCCGGTGCCGGTAGGATATGGACCCGCTGCCCGGGATGCCGGTGCCGATAGGATGTGGATGCCTGCCCCCGGTGCCGGTGCCGGTAGGATGAGGGTCCCTGCCCCCGGTACCGGTAGGATATGGACCCGCTGCCCGGGATACCGGTGCCGATAGGATGCGGGTCCCCTACCCCCGGTGCCGGTGCCGGTAGGATGCGGGTCCCTACCCCCGGTGCCGGTGCCGGTAGGATGCGGGTCCCTACCCCCGGTGCCGGTGCCGGTAGGATGCGAGTCCCTGCCCCCGGTGCCGGTAGGATATGGACCCGCTGCCCGGGATACCGGTGCCGATAGGATGTGGATGCCTGCCCCCGGTGCCGGTGCCGGTAGGATGCGGGTTCCCTGCCCCCGGTGCCGGTAGGATGCGGGTCCCGGTGCCGGTGCCGATAGGATGTGGACTGCCCCCAGTGCCGGTGCCGGTGCCGGTAGGATGTTTTTCCCCTGCCCCCGGTGCCGGTAGGATGCGGGTCCCCTGCCCCCGGTGCCGGTGCCAGTAGGATGCGGGTCCCTGCCCCCGGTGCCGGTGCCGGTAGGATGTTTGTCCCCTGCCCCCGGTGCCGGTAGGATGCGGGTCCCTACCCCCGGTGCCGGTGCCGATAGGATATTTGTCCCCTGCCCCCGGTGCCGGTGCCGGTGCCGGTGCCGGTGCCGGTGCCGGTGCCGGTGCCGGTGCCGGTGCCGGTGCCGGTGCCGGTGCGGGCGCTGCCGCCGCTGCCGGGGAGGCGGGCGGGAGGCGGGCCGGTGACTCATGGCTTCCCAACGGCGGCGGCTCCTCCCCGCGGCCGCCGGCCCCGCGCAGCCCCCGGCACATGGGCCGCGGCTCCGGCAGCGCGGAGCTGGCCATGGCCGCAGCGCCCGCCCGCTGCCCCGACTGCCCGGGGCCGGAACCGGGGGGCGGCGGCGGCAGCCCCGCCGTGCCGCACCTCGGCATTGCGGTGGACGAGGGGGACGTGCTGCCCGGGGCGCTGCGGATCGTGCGGCGGCTGAGACCCGCCTGGGAGCCGGCCACGGTGAAGACCAAGGTACGGGGGGAGAGAGGCTGCGGCGGCACCGCGCGAACCGGCGGGGATCGCCCGGTGGGGCTGCGGAGCCCGGCTGGGTGCGGTTGTGGGGTTCTAGGGGATGGCTGAGGGGGCTGCGGGGCTCACCCCGGTGGGGTGTGGGGTCAGCTCACGGGGGGCTGAGAGGCTCAGCCTTGGGGGGCTATGGGGTCTGTCCTAGGGAGGCTGTGGGGCTCAGCCTTGGGGGGCTATGGGGTCTGTGCTAGGGAGGTTGTGGGGCTCAGCCTTGGGGAGCTATGGGGTCTGTGCTAGGGAGGTTGTGGGGCTCAGCTTTGCGGGGCTATGGGGTCTGTCCTAGGGACGTTGTGGGGCTCAGCCTTGCGGGGCTGTGGGGTCTGTGCTAGGGAGGCTGTGGGGCTCAGCCTTGGGGGGCTGTGGGGTCTGTCATAGGGAGGTTGTGGGGCTCAGCCTGCGAGCTATAGGGTCCGTCCTAGAGGGACTGTGGGGTTTAACCCAGGGGCTCCCGGATCTGTTCGAGGTGGGATGTGGGGCTCACTCTGAGGGGGCTGTGGGGTTCACCATGGGGGGTGCAGGACCTGCCCCAGAGGATGTGAACCCCCAAACCCCCACCCCCGGGGTGCAAAGGCGTGACACCCCCACCGCACCCCGCGCCCCACGAAGTTTAGGGTCCCCTGGGGTGGTCGCCGAGCGGTGGCTGTGGGTACACACGTGTCCCCAGGCTGGCTGCCGAGGTGCCCGCAGGAGCGGCCGCTCCCGGGAGCTGCTCTCCTTTGGGATATTTGTTGGCTCCCACATTTCAGCGTGGGCTGAGCCCCAGTTCAGCCGGGAGCCGGACACGAGTCTCGGGCTGCTGGCACGGGACGGGCTCGGCTGGCAGAGAATCGCTCTGGCCAGGGCTGGGGTGACACAGGCTGGTGGCACCGGTGCCCTCGGCTGTGCCCTGGCGCTGGGCACCGGAGCGTGGAAGGGCTGGAAATGTCTGCACGTGAGCGAGCGTCCCCTCCGAAGGCACACGCTTCCCGTCATTAAAAATGTATTAATAGCCAAGCGAAATGAAATACAAGAAGCTGCAGGAAAAGCCATCTGAAAGGGCAGATGGCAGCGGGCAGGAAGCTGGGAGTTGGAGTTTGCAGGGGCAGGAAATGTCTCGCTCTGCTCGCAGAGCTCGGTGGTTGTGGAGGGACCCCGGCTCTGCGGTATCCAGGCTCCGCAGGGGTCAGTGTTCTACAGCAGCTCGGATGTGCGGGCGTGTGTTTTTAATTTTAAAAAAGGGAAAAAAAGGTGGGAAAAAAAAAAAAAAACCCGCTCACGAGTTGAGGGAAAACCCTCCCGTTGCGTTTCCCTCGGCTGCTTTCCCTCCTCCCGCGTTTCCCCTCGCAGGAGCCGCTCGGGGATGGGATGGAGCGGCCCAGGGGCCTCAGCTGGTTCCCATTAGCGAGCCCGTTCCCCTGCCCGCTGCCCTGGAGCGCTGCCCCGTTCCCAGCACCTCGCGGGGCTGTACCAGGCTGTGCCGGCGGCTCGGGAAAATCTCCCGGAGCTCAGGAACGCGGCAAGAAGGATCTGGGAGCGCGGGCTGCCCTGTGTGCGCTCCTGGTTGTGCCCACTTCCAGGGCTCCTGCTCCTGATCCCGGGGGAGTGTGCGTGTGGCTGAGTCAGCCCCCCACGCTCCCAGGGAAGCACAAACTCATCCATCCATCCATCCATCCTCCCATCTCTCCATCCATCCATCATCATCCATCCATCCATCCATCCATCCATCCATCATCCATCCATCCATCCATCCATCCATCATCCATCCATCATCCATCCATCCATCCATCCATCCATCCATCATCCATCCATCCATCATCCATCCATCCATCATCCATCCATCCATCCATCCATCATCCATCCATCATCCATCATCCATCCATCATCCATCCATCCATCCATCCATCATCCATCCATCCATCCATCCATCACCCATCCATCATCCATCCATCATCCATCCATCATCCCCCAAGCAGCCACCCCCAAACCCAGCTAGTCCCTGCAGGTCACCGAGGGGCCACGTGTGCAGCTCCAGAGTTGCTGGCCTGGAATTCGGGGGGGATAGGGCTCAGTTAAAGCTGATTAAATCCCATTAAATCCCATTAAAGCTGCTGGGAAGGGCTGGCTGGGCTGTGGGGCAGCAAAGCCAAGCAGCACACCAGGATCTCCCTGGATGCAGAGCTGCTCACGTGTGGTTCATGGTGACACCTGCGTGGCCAAGCTGTGACACCGCTGCTGCCTGAATGGCAGGACAGGAGGAGGAAAGAGCTGAGCCCCGCGGTGAAACTCAGATTTATCAGCTCCGGGAAAAAGCAGCTGGAGAAGGTTTGGCCACAGCTGAGGGGCAGCACCCCTGAGGATGGGGCAGCACCCCTGAGGATGGGGCAGCACCCCTGAGGATGGGGCAGCGGCCTCGCCCTGCTCACCCCAAATCCGGCTGTGGAATGGGGGTGTCAACCCTGTCTGGCTTGGAGGGTCTCATTCCAGAGCCTGGAGTCTCCCTCGGGGAGCCCTATATATAGGAAGCCTATAGGGGAGCGTGGGTTGCTGAGTGGGATGTCTAAAATTATCCGTCCCATCGCTGAGCTCCGCGGCTGCCGGAGCAGGAACCCTCTCCCCCTCCTGCTCCCCGATCCCACAGGGCTGGAGGAATCGTTCCTATGGGGTGCCACAGCACCCCAGAGTGCCCAGTTTGGAGTTGGCACTCTGGGGGACAATGGGACAGGGGTTTCCTGTGGGGTGACAGAGCCCTAAATCCCCTCAGCGCCCAAAATCCCAGTGGGATGAGGGAGTCATGGAGTGCCCAGCTTGGAGCTGAACATCCCACGGTGTGGGGGACAATGGGACAGGGGTTTCCTGTGGGGTGACATGTCCCCAAACCCCCTCCGTGCCCCAGAGGTGCCCAAATCCCAGTGGGATGAGGGAATATTTTCCAGGGGGAGCAGCAGCATCCCGGGGATGGCACGTGGAGGTTTCTTGTGGGGTTTCAGAGCCCCAAACCCCCTCGGGTGCCCCAGAGGTGCACAAATCCCGGCGGGATTAAGGAATCATTCCAATGCGGAGCTGCAGCACCCCGGGGCCGGCACGGGGACAATGGGGGTGATTTCTTTTGGGATTTCAGAGCCCCAAACCCCCTCAGTGCCCCGGAGGTGCCCAAATCCCGGCGGGATGGGGCGAGGAGCCCCGAGCGGGCGGCAGCAGCCCCGGCATGTGCGCGGGCAGGCGGCCAAGGCGGAGCGCCGGGAGAACAAAACTCCTTTTCCATCTGCGAGGAGCCGTCAGAGCGGTGACACCGCGATGTCCCCAGCAGCGACATCCCCGCCTATCAGCGCCCCGGCCCGCGGGGAGGGTCGGAGGAGGGGATGGGGGGTGGTGTTGGCTCCGGCCTTGTTTTCAGCCTCGTTGGCTGGTTTATTTATTTATTATTATTTTGAATTTCGTGCCAATTTACGCTGTTTTGTTGGCTTTCCCTCCCCCCCGCAGCGAGACATTGCCGGGGCTGCTCCCATGCCAAGCGTGCTGGTGGCACTTCTGGCCTGAGCTGTTCCTGAGCTATCCCTGAGCTGTTCCACGTGAAAAAAAAACAAGATTTCCACCCAAACCACCCCTTCTGCCTGCAGAGGTGTTCCTGAGCTGCTCCTGAGCTGTTCCTGAGCCCCCAGGTGGAAAATAACAGGATTTCCACCCAAATCACCACCTCTGCCTGCAGAGGTGTTCCTGGGCTGTTCCTGACCACCTAGGTGAAAAAAAAAAACAGGATTTCCACCCAAATCACCACCTCTGCCTGCAGAAATGTTACTGGGCTGTTCCTGACCACCTAGGTGAAAAAAAAAAACAGGATTTCCACCCAAATCACCACCTCTGCCTGCAGAGGTGTTCCTGGGCTGTTCCTGAGCTGTTCCAGGTGAAAAATAACAGGATTTCCCCCCAGACCACCCCTTCTGCCAGCAGAGGTGTTCCTGAGCTCTTCCTGAACCCTTAGGTGAAAAAAACCCAGAATTTCCACCCAAATCAGCACCTCTGCCTGCAGAGCTGTTCCTGAGCTGTTCCTGAGCTGTTCCAGGTGAAAAATAACAGGATTTCCCCCCAGACCACCCCTTCTGCCAGCAGAGGTGTTCCTGAGCTCTTCCTGAACCCTTAGGTGAAAAAAACCCAGGATTTCCACCCAAACCACCCCTTCTGCCTGAGCTTCATCCTTCCAAACTCATGTCACTCCCCCACGACCCTTCCTGGCTGCGCCGCCTCTCTCTTTTTCCCTCATTTTTGCCGCGTCCACGAGGTTTTTTCCAGCGGTGGGACGAGCACAGGGGGTTCCCCTGCTCCCACCCAGGTGTGTCACCCCCGCCGCGTTTGTCCCCACGCAGCTCTTCACTGATGGCATCACCAACAAGCTGGTGGCCTGCTACACGGCCGAGGGCATGGGGGACGCGCTGCTGGTGCGGGTGTACGGCCGGAAAACCGAGCTGCTGGTGGACAGGGAGACGGAGCTGAGGAATTTCCAGGTGCTCCGAGCCCACGGCTGCGCCCCCGACCTCTACTGCGCCTTCCAGAACGGGCTCTGCTACCAATTCCTGCCGGGAATCGCGCTGGGACCTCAGCACGTCAGGGATCCCCACATCTGCAGGTGCGTGGGAGCTCCTGTGTCCACCCCTGTCGCTGTCGAGGCAGGACGGGAATGAATAGACTCAACTCTGAAGGCTGTGAGAGTAAAACTCTGATTTATTCAAAATACTGCACTCTTTTATACAGAGCTTCGTGAGGGCCAACTCCATTGGTCCAATGGAAAAAAACTGAGAGTAAAACTCCGATTTATTCAAAATCCACCGCTCTTTTATACAGAGCTTCGTGAGGGCCAACTCCATTGGTCCAATGGAAAAAAACAGACTAAATCTCCAATTTATTCAAAATACCCCACTCTTTTATACAGAGCTTCATGAGGACCAACTCCATTGGTCCAATGGAAAAAAACTGAGAGTAAAACTCTGATTTATTCAAAATACCCCGCTCTTTTATACAGAGCTCTGTGAGGGCCAACTCCATTGATTCTGAAGTGAAAACAACTCACAGCATTGGTGTACAGTGCTTGACAAACAGTGCTAGAACTTAACTATAAACAATGTAAAAAACAAGAGAGATAAAGAATTATTTACATTCTTCTCCAGCTCTTTCCCAGGCTCCTGCCTGGCTAGAAATTCTCAGTTTCTTTCTTTGACTGAATCCGAGACCCACACACCCCTAGGGTGGATCTGGGGGTTTTCCAGGGAAAATCCTCAGTTTTCTGGGGGTTTGTTCTGTGTTTTCAGGTCTCCCCTGGCCGCTGTGGCTGGGGGTCGTGGGTGTGCCCAGTCCTGGGATAAATGGGGATCAGGGGATAAATGGGTAAAAGTGCAGGAAGAGTTGTCAAAACTACCAAATTTCGAATTTTTATCAGGTTTTGGTGAAGAGTGGTTTCCTGGGAAGCTGGAATTAAAGTTTCCTGTAAATCTGGAATTAAAATTTCCTGTAAATCTGGAATTAAGATTTCCCTGGAAGCTGGAATTATAGTTTCCTGGGAAGTTGGAATTATAGTTTCCTGGGAAGCTGGAATTAATATTTCCTGGGAATCTGGAATTAAGATTTCCTGGGAAGCTGGAATTAAAATTTTCTGTAAATCTGGAATTAAGGTTTCCTGGGAAATTGGAATTAAGGTTTCCTGGGAAGCTGGCATTAAGATTTCCTGAGAAGCTGGAATTAAAATTTTCTGGGAAGCTGGAATTAAGGTTTCCTGGGAAGTTGGAATTAAGATTTCCTGGGAAGTTGGAATTAAGATTTCCTGGGAATCTGGAATTAAGGTTTCCTGGGAAGTTGGAATTGAAATTTTCTGGGAAGCTGGAATTAAGGTTTCTTGGGAAGCCGGAATTCCTTGGGAAGCAGAGTTTAGGCCTGAATTTGCCCTCAAAATGAGCATTCTGAACTGCTTCAGAGGCTGATCCCTGACACGGAAGGAGGGCTCAGCTGTGCTAACCCTGTGCTTTAAGCAGGATTTTCAGGGAATCCCTCTGAAGACACCCCAAAGCTCTTTTTGGGGATTTTGAAGGTTGGGGGGGGGGGGATTTTGAGATTTTGAGGATTTGGGATCACCCCTCACCCTTTTCCTGTGCTCCACGCCAGGCTGGTGGCCCGGGAGATGGCCCGAGTCCACGCCATCCACGCCAACGGGAGCCTCCCCAGGCCCATCCTGTGGCAGAAGCTGCACAAATACCTCGGCCTGGTGAAGACGGAGCTCAGCCCAAAGGTATCCAACCCCAGGTAAAGGCAGAGGGATCCCACAGAGCCAGGCTCTGCCTCGGGCACCCCCTGCCCACCCAGCTCTGGGTAAATCCTCTGCGAGGATTTGGGGCTGGATCCCTCTCAGACCCCCCGGAGCAGCTCCAGCCCCATCCTGCTGCCACTTTGGGGAGAATTTCAGCTTTTTTTTTGGAGCTTTGGGATGTATCTGTGCAGCATCCAGCTGGAGCACAGCCTCCCACTGCTGGAACAATCCTCCTCCTCCTGCTGGGAATTTAAGCCTGGAATAAACCCGAGCTCAAGCCCTGCCGAGATGACAATAAATTTTAGAAATTAAACCACTCAATCCCCACTTCCAGCCAGCCCATCCTGCTTTTTGGGGTGGCCGGTTTGGAACAGCAGGTGAGCTTTGGGGTGTCTGGGAAGGATTTGGGGCAGCCCCAAGAGGTGAACGAACCCCGGGCAGGGCAATGATTAACCCGGGGCAGGAGCCAGCCGGGCTTTTCGCAGCGCCCGCCGGGCCACGGGCAGACTTTACCCACCCTGCGCCTTCAGCGCGGCCAATTAGGCAATCATTAACGAGCTCTCCTGAGGTTACCGAGAGGCTGCCAGAGTCCAAAACATCCCCGTGCCCCGTGGGATTTCGGGGAGAGAGCGCTCGGTGGATTTGGGGGGTGGGCATGGGGGTTTTGGGGATAAGGGATGCGCTGAGGCTGAGCTGTGGTGTCTGTCTGGGTACCAAACTTGGTCCCCTCCCCAAAAAACGGCCTCGTTAGCCCAGATTTGTGTCATTAATGGGGTGGTTTGGAAGGCAGGAGAGGGAAGTTGGGGAAATTTTGCCCTTGAGCCTCAAGGAAAACGCTGGAAGTTGGGGAAATTCTGGAAATTGGGGAAATTCTGCCCCTGAGCCTCAAGGAAAACGCTGGAAGTTGGGGAAATTCTGGAAATTGGGGAAATTCTGTCCCTGAGCTCCCAGGGAAGCTTTGGAAGTCAGGGAAGCACAATTCTGGTCCAGTGGCCCCAGGGAAGCTCTGGAAGTTGGGGAAACACTGGAATTTGGGGAAATTCTGTCCCTGAGCATCAAGGGAAGCACTGGAATTTGGGGAAATTCTGTCCCTGAGCATCAAGGGAAGCGCTGGAATTTGGGGAAATTCTGTCCCTGAGCATCAAGGGAAGTGCTGGAATTTGGGGAAATTCTGTCCCTGAGCATCAAGGGAAGTGCTGGAAGTTGGGGAAATTCTGTCCCTGAGCATCAAGGGAAGCACCAGAATTTGGGGAAATTCTGTCCCTGAGCATCAAGGGAAGCGCCAGAATTTGTGGAAATTCTGCCCCTGAGCCCCAAAGCAGCACTAGAAACCGGGGAAACGCCACCCCTGAGCCCCAGGGAGGCTGCCCGGGAGCAGCAGCGATGCCACCCTGTCCCTTTTGTCCCCTGCCAGCCTCCCGCAGGACGTGCCCAGCCCCGAGGTGCTGGAGCAGGAGCTGGCCTGGATGAAGGAGACGCTGCCACCGCTGGGCTCCCCCGTGGTGCTGTGCCACAACGACCTCCTGTGCAAGAACATCATCTACGACAGCACGCAAGGTCTGTCTGTGTGCCCGGGGGTGTCCCTGTGCCACCCCCCGGTGCGGTGTCACCTCTGTCACCTCTGAGAGCCGCCGGGTTTGTCCCCGCAGAGCGCGTGCGCTTCATCGACTACGAGTACACGGGGTACAACTACCAGGCCTTCGACATCGGGAACCACTTCAACGAGTTCGCAGGTGGGGATTGTCCCCAAAGGTCCCCCCAGTGCCAGACTGGGAAATGGGGTGTCTCTCTTACTGGGATGGAAAAGGGAGTTATTCCCAGTGCCATATTGGGAAATGGGGTGTTCCTATTACTGGGGGTGGAGGAGGGAGTTATTCCCAGTTTCATACTGGGAAATGGGGTTTTCCTATTACCTGGAGGGAGTTATCCCCAGTCCCATACTGGGAAATGGGGTGTCCCTATTACTGGGATGGAGGAGGGAGTATTTATCCCAGACTCAGGGTGGGAAATGGGGTCTCTTCATCCCTGGGATGGAGGAGGGAGGTGTCCCCAGTGCCAGACTGGGAAATGGGGCATTCATATTACTGGGATGGAAAAGGGAGTTTCATTCCCAGTCCCAAACTGGGAAATGGGTGTTCCTATTACTGGGATGGAAAAGGGATTTCTATTCCCAGTCCCATGGTGGGAAATGGGGTGTTCCTATTACCTGGAGGGAATTTCCCCAGTCCCATACTGGGAAATGGGGTGTCTCACTTACTGGGATGGAAAAGGGAGTTGTCTCCAGTGCCATATTGGGAAATGGGGTGTTCCTATTACTGGGGGTGGAGGAGGGAGTTATTCCCAGTTTCATACTGGGAAATGGGGTGTTCCTATTACCTGGAGGGAGTTATCCTCAGTCCCATACTGGGAAATGGGGTGTTCCTATTACTAGGATGGAAAAGGGAGTTCTATTCCCAGTCCCAAACTGGGAAATGGGGTGTTCCTATTACCTGGAGGGAATTTCCCCAGTCCCAGACTGGGAAATGGGGTGTCTCTCTTACTGGGATGGAAAAGGGAGTTGTCCCCAGTGCCATATTGGGAAATGGGGTGTTCCTATTAGTGGGGGTGGAGGAGGGAGTTATTCCCAGTTTCATACTGGGAAATGGGGTTTTCCTATTACCTGGAGGGAGTTATCCCCAGTCCCATACTGGGAAATGAGGTGCTCCTATTACTGGGATGGAAGAGGGAGTTTTATTCCCAGTCCCAAACTGGAAAATGGGGTGTTCCTGTTACTGGCAGTGGAGGAGGGAATTTTCCCAGTGCCATACTGGGAAATGGGGTGTCTCTGTTACTGGGATGGAAAAGGGAGTTCTATTCCCACTACCAAGGTGGGAAATGGGGTGTTCCTATTACTGGGATGGAAAAGGGAGTTCTATTCCCAGTCCCATACAGGATAATTTGGTTTCACTATTACTGGGATGGAGGAGGGAGTTATTCCCAGTTTCATACTGGGAAATGGGGTTTTCCTATTACCTGGAGGGAGTGATCCCCAGTCCCATACTGGGAAATGGGGCATTCATATTACTGGGATGGAAAAGGGAGTTTTACCCCCAGTGCCATACTGGGAAATGGGTGTTCCTATTACTGGGATGGAGGAGGGAGTTATTCCCAGTGCCATACTGGGAAATGGGTGTTCCTGTTACTGGGGGCAGAGGAGGGAGTTTTATCCCCAGTCCCAGGGTGGAAAAACGAGGCTGTCCTGGGGCCTCCTGATCCCTGAGGATGGAGGAGGGACTTGAATCCCCAATCCCATGATGGGAAATGGGGTCTCCCCATCTCTGGGCATGGAGGAATGAGCTGCACCCCAAATCCTGCAGCAGGATTTGGGGCTGCCCACGGTCCGAGCGGGGTCTCTGCCGCCCTTGGGCACCCCTGGGGTGCCAACCCCGGCTCCTCACCCCAAGGCTGGCTGGGGGCCAGCAGCTGATCCTGGGGTTGTGCCCGGCTGGGGTTGTGCTCTCCTCGCTTTGCCGTGGGGAACCCAACCCTTCCCTGTCCCCCCATGTCCCCCCGTGTCCCCCCGTGTCCCCCCAGGTGTGAAGGAGGTGGATTATGGCCTCTACCCCGGCAAGGAGACACAGCTGCAGTGGCTGCACTCCTACCTGCAGGCCTACAAGGAGCTCACCCAGGGCCACCCAGGGGACAGCCAGGTGTCCCCGGAGGAGCTGGAGACGCTCTACGTGCAAGTGAACAAGTTCTCCTTGGTGAGTGGAGGAGGAGGAGGAGGAGGAGGAGGAAGGAGCCGGCCTCGCTGCAGGGCTGGAAACACAACCCAGGGAATGAGGGAGTTTTCCTCTTCTCTCGGGCTCCCAGCTGACCTGGCCAGCTCGGGGTTGCAGGTGCCAGCCTGGGGTCTCGGTGACATCGGGGACAGGCTGTGCCACGGGGCCTGGCAGCGCCTCAGAGCCCCCGGGCAAGGTCACAGGGGTGTGCTGGGGACAGCTGTGCCCGGCAGGGTGGCCTTGGGCAGCCCTTCCGAGGGGTCAGCCATGGCCGCGGTGAGGAAATCCTCTTTGCTGGCTGCCAGGGTTGGCCCCGGCAATCTTCTGGAAATTTCGGGTGAAGGGTTCTCTGTTTTCCTGGCTGGAGCTGGCAGCACAGGGGGTGGCACCAGGGAAGGTCACTGTGCCCAGAGAAGGGACAGTCACCATGTCCCCACAGCCTGGGGGGCACAAAAATCCCGCCGTGGGCCAGCCCTGTGTGTGTCCTGTCCTTGTCACAGCCCTGGGAGTTGGGGCACGGGGGTTTCTGCTCCCTGACCCTCCTTCTGCCCCTTGCAGGCCTCCCATTTCCTCTGGGCCTGCTGGGGCCTGATCCAGGATAAATATTCCACCATAGACTTTAATTTCTTACGGTGAGTCCACACCGCCGCTCCAGCGGGAAATGAGCGCGGAGGGAGGAGCCCGGGGAGGATCTGGGGAGGATCTGGGGAGGATCTGGGGAGGATCCTGGGGAGGATCTGGGGAGGATCCTGGGGAGGATCCTGGGGAAGATCCCAGTGGTCCCTGGGGATGATCCATGGGAGGATCTGGGGAGGATCTGGGGAGGATCCTGGGGAGGATCCCAGTGGTCCCTGGGGATGATCCATGGGAGGATCCCAGGGAGGATCCTGGGAACAATCCTGGGGAGGATCCTGGTAGTCCCTGGGGATGATCCCATTAATTCCAGGGGAGGATCCCAGGGAAGATCCCAGTGGTCTCTGGGGAGGATCCAGGGGAGGGTCTCAGGGAGGATCCTGGGGAGGATCCAGGGGAAGATCCAGGAGAAGATCCCAGTGGTCCCTGGGGATGATCCATGGGAGGATCTGGGGGAGGACCCCGGGGAGGATCCTGGGGAGGATCCTGGTAGTCCCTGGGGATGATTCCAGTAATTCCTGGGGAGGATCCCAGGGAAGATCCCAGTGGTCCCTGGGGAGGATCCAGGGGAGGGTCTCAGGGAGGATCCTGGGGAGGATCCAGGGGCAGATCCGGGGGAGGATCCCAGGGAAGATCCTGGGGAAGATCCCAGTGCTCCCTAGGGAGGGTCTCAGGGAGGATCCTGGGGAGGATCCAGGGGAAGATCCAGGAGAAGATCCCAGTGGTCCCTGGGGATAATCCATGGGAGGATCTGGGGGAGGATCCCGGGGAGGATCATGGTAGTCCCTGGGGATGATCCCAGTAATTCCTGGGGAGGATCCCAGGGAAGATCCCAGTGGTCCCTGGGAAGGATCCAGGGGAGGGTCTCAGGGAGGATCCTGGGGAGGATCCTAGGGAAGATCCAGGGGAAGATCCCAGTGGTCCGTGGGGATGATCCATGGGAGGATCCTGGGGAGGATCCTGGGGAGGATCTCATCAGTCCCTGGGAAGGATCCTGGGAACAATCCTGGGGAGGATCCCGGTGATCCCTGGGGAGGATCCTGGCTGTCCCTAGGGAGGATCCCAAGGAGGATCCCTGGGAGGATCCCAGCAGTGCCTGGGGAGGATATTTGGGGAGGATCCCGGTGTTCCCTGGGGATGATCCCAGTGGTCCCTGGAGAGGATCTCAGCTGTCCCTGGGGGGATCCTGGGAAGGATCCCGGTGGTCCCTGGGAAGGATCCCGGTGGTCCCTGGGGAGGATCCCGGTGGTCCCTGGGAGGATCCCGATGGTCCCTAGGGAGGATCCCGGTGGTCCCTGGGGAGGATCCTGCCAGTCCCTGGCCCCACGAGCGGCTCAGAGCCATCCCTTCTCTCTCTCTGTCTCCCTCTCTTCGCAGATATGCAAAATTAAGGTTTAAACAATACTTCAAGATGAAGCCGGTGGTCACGGCCCTGCAGCTCCCCAAGTAGGGACCACCCCGAGCTCTTCTCTCCTGGCCGTGCCCTCGCGCCCCCCTGGCCCCTCGCCCGGTCCTGCCGGTGCCCAGGGGGACAAGAGGAGCTGTGCCACGGCCACAGTGCTGCCAGGAGAGCCTGGCCACCCCCAAGACTGGACCATGAGATGCTGGAGAGGACCAGAGCCCCGGTGAGGCCCCAGCCCACGCCAGGAAGCCTCACCACCGCCTTAAGGCCGGTCCCGGTGCCCGGCAGGTCCGTGCCCCGCTGGCACCGCTGCTGCTGCCGGGCCTGGCACCGTCCCCTCCCCCTGCAATGTCCCTGAGGGGGACACGGCGTCACCCCGGCCACTCAGGAGCCCCCAGAGCTCTGCCCGGTCACTTCGGCTGCCCCGCTGTCCCCTCCTGCCCTGCTGGGTGCCACCCCCAGAGCAGCGCTGTCCCCGCTGGCCCCAGGCACGGGACCCCTGTCCCTGAGGGGTGGCAGCTGTGGGCAAAGGGACAGGGCCAGCCGTGAGCCGCTGGCACCAGTGGGGCGCTGCTGGTGGGCACGGGTGTCCCCCACAGCTGCCCCTGCCTGGCCCCACTGCCCCCTCAGCTTGGTGGCACCCCAGCTCTGCCCCCAGGGGACATCCAGGGGCTGTCCTGCCTGTCCCCACCGCTGTCCTCTGTCCTGCCTGTCCCCACTGCTGTCCTCCTCCCTGGGCCGTGTCCCCACCCCTGGCAGGAGGTGGCACGGAGCTGCCCCACTTCAGGACCAGGCACAGGGACCTCCTGTGCCACCTCGGCTGTGGGGACACGGTGACTGTCCCTTCTCTGGGCACAGCAATGTCCCCCAGAGCCCCGTGTCCTGTCCCTGGCTGTGGGGACACGGTGGCTGTCCCTTCTCTGGGCCCAGGGATGTCCCCAGAGCCCTGTGCCACCCCTGGCTGTGGGGACATGGGGACTGTCCCTTTTCCAGGTACAGGGACCTCCTGTGCCACCCTGGCTGTGGGGACATGGGGACTGTCCCCTCTCTGGGCCCTGTGCCACCCCTGGCTGTAGGGACACGGTGGCTGTCCCTTCTCTGGGCACAGCGATGTCCCCCAGAGCCCTGTGTCCTGTCCCTGGCTGTGGGGACAAGGTGGCTGTCCCTTCTCCAGGTACAGGGACCTCCTGTGCCACCTCTGGGCTGTGGGGACACAGTGGCTGTCCCTTCTCTGGGCACAGCGATGTCCCCCAGAGCCCCGTGTCCTGTCCTTGGCTGTGGGGACGCAGTGACTGTCCCTTCCCTGCGCCCGGAGCCACCCCTGGCTGTGGGGACATGGTGGCTGTCCCTTCTCCAGGTACAGGGACCTTCCCCACAGCCCTGTGCCACCCCGGCTGTGGGGACACGGGGACTGTCCCTTCTCTGGGCACAGCGATGTCCCCCAGAGCCCCATGTCCTGTCCCTGGTTGTGGGGACACAGTGACTGTCCCTTCTCTGGGCCCAGGGATGTCCCCAGAGCCCTGTGCCACCCCTGGGCTGTGGGGACACAGTGACTGTCCCTTCCCTGGGCCCTGTGCCACCCTGGCTCTGGGGACACGGTGACTGTCCCCTCTCCGGGCCCAGGGATGTCCCCAGAGCCCTGTGCCACCTCTGGGCTGTGGGGACACGGGGACTGTCCCTTCTCTGGGTCCTGTGTCACCCTGGCTGTGGGGACATGGTGGCTGTCCCTTCTCCAGGTACAGGGACCTCCTGTGCCACCCTGGCTGTGGGGACACGGTGGCTGTCCCTTCTCTGGGCACAGCGATGTCCCCAGAGCCCTGTGCCACCTCTGGGCTGTGGGGACACGGGGACTGTCCCTTCTCTGGGCCCTGTGCCACCTCTGGGCTGTGGGGACACGGGGACTGTCCCTTCTCTGGGCCCTGTGCCACCCTGGCTGTGGGGACACGGGGACTGTCCCTTCTCTGGGCACAGCGATGTCCCCCAGAGCCCGGTGTCCTGTCCCTGGCTGTGGGGACACGGGGACTGTCCCTTCTCTGGGCCCTGTGCCACCCTGGCTGTGGGGACACGGGGACTGTCCCTTCTCTGGGCACAGCGATGTCCCCCAGAGCCCTGTGTCCTGTCCCTGGCTGTGGGGACACGGTGACTGTCCCCTCTCCAGGCACAGGGATGTCCCCAGAGCCCTGTGCCACCCCTGCTATGGGGACATGGTGGCTGTCCCTTCTCTGGGCCCTGTGCCACCCCGGCTGTGGAGACACGGGGACTGTCCCTTCTCTGGGCCCAGGGATGTCCCCAGAGCACTGTGCCACCTCTGGGATGTGGGGACATGGGGACTGTCCCCTCTCCAGGCACAGGACCTTCACCAGAGCCCTGTGCCACCCCTGGGCTGTGGGGACATGGGGACTGTCCTTTCTCTGGGCCCTGTGCCACCTCTGGGCTGTGGGGACACAGTGACTGTCCCCTCTCTGGGCCCTGTGCCACCCCTGGCTGTGGGGACACGGTGGTTGTCCCTTCTCTGGGCACAGGGATGTCCCCAGAGCCCTGTGCCACCCCTGGCTGTGGGGACATGGTGGCTGTCCTTTCTTTGGGCACAGCAATGTCCCCCAGAGCCCCGTGTCCTGTCCCTAGCTGTGGGGACAGGGGGACTGTCCCCTCTCTGGGCCCTGTCCCACCTTGGCTGTGGGGACATGGGGACTGTCCCTTCTCTGGGCACAGGGATGTCCCCAGAGCACTGTGCCACCTCTGGGCTGTGGGGACACAGTAACTGTCCCCTCTCTGGGCACAGGGACCTTCACCAGAGCCCTGTGCCACCCTTGGCTGTGGGGACACGGTGGCTGTCCCTTCTCTGGGCACAGGGATGTCCCCAGAGCCCTGTGCCACCCCTGGCTGTGGGGACACGGGGACTGTCCCTGCTCTGGGCCCAGGGATGTCCCCCAGAGCCCCGTGTCCTGTCCCTGGCTGTGGGGACACAGGGACTGTCCCTTCTCTGGGCCCTGTGCCACCCTGGCTGTGGGGACATGGGGACTGTCCCTTCTCTGGGCCCTGTGCCACCCTGGCTGTGGGGACACGGGGACTGTCCCTTCTCTGGGCCCTGTGCCACCCTGGCTGTGGGGACACAGTGGCTGTCCCTTCTCTGGGCACATTGATGTCCCCCAGAGTCCCGTGTCCTGTCCCTGGCTGTGGGGACATGGTGGCTGTCCCTTCTCCAGGTACAGGGACCTCCTGTGCCACCCTGGCTGTGGGGACATGGTGGCTGTCCCTTCTCTGGGCACAGCGATGTCCCCCAGAGCCCTGTGTCCTGTCCCTGGCTGTGGGGACACGGGGACTGTCCCTTCTCCGGCCACAGGGACCTCCCCCCGGCAGAACCAGGGCTGCTGGCACGCCCGTGGTTCTTTTGGTGGGAAATAAAAGCTGCTGGTAGCTGGAATTTGGGAATTTGGGGCTGGCGGATCTTGGGGGGCCGGTGCCGGAGCAGGGGCAGCACCCGCGGGCTCTGGGGGTGCTCCTGTCCCTTCTGTACCCCGAGATGTCCCCATGCCACCCTCGCCCCCAACCCTGGTGGAGCCCAGGCCCCACTCTCTGCTCCAAAAAGTCACTTTTATTGTGCCAAGGGCCGGGGGGAGGAACGACTGTAAACAGGGATGTGAAATATACAGGTTAAGTTACTCGTGGTCTTATTAACAAAATAAAGCTCTATCTATATTTACAATCTTTAAAAAACAGAACAACAACCAAAAAAAAACAAAAAATAGGAAAATAAATGGAAGAGAGACAAGGAGCTGTGGGGAGGGGACACATCTGCTTCCAGTCCCTCCGCAGCACAGCCAGGCCCAGCCCTGGAGCTGGGACCCCTCCCCAGGGACCCCTGTGCACCCCTGGGACCCCCTGACCTTCCCCAGGGACCCTTGTGCATCCCTGGGACCCCCTGACCTTCCCCAGGGACCCCTGTGCATCCCTGGGACCCCCTGACCTTCCCAGGGACCCCCATCCTTCCCTGGGACCCCGTGTCCTCTCCAGGGACCCCCATCCTTCCCTGGGACCCCGTGTCCTCTCCAGGGACCCCTGTCCCTTGCTGGGGACTCCTGACCTTCCCCAGAGACCCCCTGTCCTTCTTAGGGACACTTTTCCATCCCTGTACCTCCCCAGGGACCCCTGGGACCCCTGTCCTTCCCCAGGGGACCCTTTTCCATCCCCAGGGCCCCCTGTCCTCCCCAGGGACCCCCTGTCCTTCTGTGGGACCCCCTGTCCTCTCCAAGGACCCCCTGTCCCTCACAGGGACCCCAGGCTGGCGCAGGGATTTGGGAACAAGTGAAGCCCTGACAGAGGCAGGGGAGCAGGGAGGGGCTGGCGGGATGTCCCCAGGATAAGAGATGTCCCCCGGGATAAGGGATGTCCCCACGGCGGTGTCCCCAGCACTGGGCTGCTGCTGCTGCTGCTGAGATTCAGATCCCCAGCCCGGTTTGGGGACAAGGGGACAAAGGGACAAGGGGACAGAGGCTGGTGCCCACTTTCTGCAGCCCTGAGCCCGGGTGGCTGCAGCCCCCACTGTGTCCCCAGCGCTGCCGCTGTCCCCACAGTGTCCCCAGCATTGTCCCTGTCCCCGTGGTGTCCCCGTGGTGTCCCCAGCACTGTCGCTGTCCCTGCGGTGTCCCCAGCCCAGTAATAACCCCCACAGTGTCCCCGCGCTGTCACTGTCCCCATGATGTCACTGTCCCTGCCGTGTCCCCAGCATGGTGACAGTCACCACGGTGTCCCCAGCGTTGTCCCTGTGGTGTCCCCAGCACTGTCCCCGTCCCCGCGGTGTCCCGGCGGTGTCCCCAGCGTTGTCCCCGCGCTGTCCCCGCGCTGTCCCCGCGCTGTCCCCGGCTCGGGGCCGTTCCCGGCTCTGCCACAGGGAGGTGCCGGAGCCCCGCGCACGGAGGGGACAGCGGGGACACGGCCCGGGAGAGCGGCTGGGCACGGGGACACGGCACACACCTGGGCATGGGGACATGGCACACACCTGGGCACGGGGACACGGCACACCTGGGCACGGCACACACCTGGACATAGCACACACACCTGGGCATGGCACACACACACCTGGGCATCGCACACACACCTGGGCATGGAGCACACCTGGGCACAGGGACATGGCACACACACACCTGGGCACAGCACACACACCTGGGCACTGCACACACCTGGACATAGCACACACACCTGGGCATGGAGCACACCTGGACATGGCACACACACCTGGACATGGAGCACACCTGGGCACGGGGACACACCTGGGCACTGCACACACACCTGGACACCCCCAGCTGTCACCTGGACACCCTGCCCTGTCACCTGGACACCCGCCACGCCCGGCCGCACCACACCGCAGCCGCTGGGACAGGCTCCGACCCCACCAAGGTCATTTTTCCGCAAATTCCCTTTTCCCCTAAAGCCGTTTCCTCTCCCTGCCTGGCACCCTGCGGGGCTCAGGGCCGGGTGCCCGGGGACAGCCGGGCACGGGGACAGCCGGGCACGTCCCCAGGCCGGGGGCTGGCAGGGCAGGAGCCACCCCCGCTTTATCCCGGAGTGGGCCCGAGCTAAAATTGGCACGGTGGGAATTCGCTGGCAGGCGCCAAAGAGCGAGCGGGAAGCGCGGCGGGCGGGGAGGTCACACCAGGATAGAGGAGGGACAAGCGCGTCCCTGTCCCGTGTCCCCAGTCTGTGTCCCCATCCCGTGTCCCACTCCATGTCCCCATCCCGTGTCCCAGTCCATGTCCCCATCCCATGTCCCCATCCCATGTCCCCATCCCATGTCCCACTCTGTGTCCCCTCCCATGTCCCCATCCCGTGTCCCACTCCATGTCCCCATGCCATGTCCCCACTCCATGTCCCCATCCCGTGTCCCACTCCGTGTCCCCACTCTGTGTCCCCACTCCATGTCCCCACTCCATGTCCCCACTCCGTGTCCCCACTCCATGTCCCCATGCTGTGTCCCCACTCCGTGTCCCCATGCCGCGCCCAGCAGCACACCAGGTGAGGCTCTGCAGGACCCGCAGGTGCTGGACATGCTCTGGATGTTCCCTGCAGCCCGAGAGCCTCAGGTCCCCTCAGGGGTGACAACGCAGCCACCACAGTGCCACCAACCCTCCAGGCTCGCTGGCCTCGGCTCCACGTGCCACCAAAGCAAGGCCAAGCCAGTCCTCGCCACCCAAAATCCCGGGTGCCCACCCTCGCGGGACCCCTCTGCAGGCGGGCAGCTCTCCTGCGGCAGAGTGCCACCCCACCTGGACACGCCGTGCCCTCCCGGGGGTGGCAGCCAGCCCTGCCACCCCCTCCGCTGTCCCCCCGCGCCCCCTCAGTCCGTCAGCACCACCAGCTCGCCGTCACTCTTGTCCTCGCCCTCCGAGTCCTCGTCCTCGCTGTAGCGGTACACGTCCCCCTCGGGCACCGAGTGCCCGTCGTCCCCGGCGTCCCCGTCCTTGAGGCTGCGGGTGTTGACGATGACGGGCATGGCGGGGTCGGCGCCGCGGGGCAGGTAATGCTCCAGGAGGGGCGGGGGCAGCTGCACGCCCACCGGCCGCGGGTACAGCACGTCCGAGGAGCTGGGGGGCACCTGGCTGCCCTGCGGCCTGGGGGACACGGGGAGCGGGCACTGAGAGGGCTCACAGGGTTCCCCCAAGGTGGGCATTCTGTGCAGGTGGGCACCAAGCCCACGGGAATGAGGTGGGCATGCACCTCATGGGTGTCAGGGGGGTGCCAGCCCCATGGGCACCAGGTGAGAACCTGCCCCATGGGCACCAGGTGGGCACCAACCCCATGGACACCAGGTGGGCACAAACCCAACCGGTGCCAGGTGAGCCCTTGCTCCAATGCAGCCACGTGGGCACAAACCCCGTGGGCACCTGGTGAGTCCTCACCTGTGTCACCCGGAGGATACCCATGTCACCTTATCAACCCCCCTTTATCAATCCCCTTTATTAATTCCCCTTATCAATCCCCCTTATTAATTACCCTTTATCAATCCCCCTTATCAATCCCCATTTATCAATTACCCTTTATTAATTCCCCTTATCAATCCCCATTTATCAATTAACCTTTATCTACCCCCTTATCCCCCACTTAGCAATCCCATTATCAACCCCTTTATCAATCCCCCTCATTAATTACCCTTTATCAATCCCCCTCATCAATCCCCATTTATCAATTACCCTTTTTCAACCCCCTTATCTCCCACTTACCAACCCCATTATCAACCCCTTTATCAATCCCCTTTATTAATTACCCTTTATCGATCCCCCTTTCCAATCCCCATTTCTCAATCACCCTTTATGAATTCCCCTTATCAACCCCCATTATCAACCCCTTATCAGCCCCCTTACCAATCCCCATTTATCAATTACCCTTTTTCAAGCCCCTTATCCCCCACTTACCAACCCCATTATCAACCCCTTTATCAACCCCCCTTATTAATTACCCTTTATCGATCCCCACTTAGCAATCCTGTTATCAACCCCTTCATCAATCCCCTTTATTAATTACCCTTTATCGATCCCCCTTTCCAATCCCCATTTCTCAATTACCCTTTATGAATTCCCCTTATCAATCCCTTTTATCAATCCCTGCATCAATCCCCTTTACTAACCCCCTTATCAACCCCCTTATTCCCCCACTTACCAACCCCGTTATCAACCCCTTTATCAACCCCTTTATCAACCCCCTTTATTAATTACCCTTTATCGATCCCACTTACCAATCCCCATTTCTCAATCACCCTTTATCAATCCCCCTTTCCAACCCCCATTACCAACCCCTTATCGCCCCCTTTCCAATCCCCCTTTATCGATTACCCCTCTCACCCCTATCAGCCCGTGCTCAGTTACCCCATGAGGAAGCCCTGCCTGGCGTCCTGGCGCCGGTTCCTCATCAGCGCCTTGTACTCGCCCACGCGCAGCCGCTTGCCCTCCACGATGCACGTGCGCTTGGGCCGCGGTTTGTATTTGTAGTCCGGGTACTTCTCCAGGTGCTGCCGGCTCAGCCGCGCCTGCTCCTCGTAGTACGGCTGCTTCTCCTGGTTGGACATGGATTTCCAGCGGGATCCTGGGAGGAGAGGGGTGGAGGGGATGGTTAATGAGAATTAGTGGTGTTAATTAGCGGTATTGCTGGTGGGAATGGTGTCCGGGTTGATGGAGGTGCTGGTGGGAGATATCTGCTGGAATATCGGGAAGAGATTCCCTGAATTCCTCTGGGCATTTCCAGGGGTTCATGTCCTCATTCCCTGATCTTCCCTCATGGTTTCCTCCCTTCATTCCCTGACCTTCCTCAGGAACCTCCTGGGATTCATCTCCTCATTCCCTGACCTTCCTTCCTGGGATTCATCTCCTTATTCCCTGACCTTCCTTCCTGGGATTCATCTCCTTATTCCCTGACCTTCCTTCCTGGGATTCATCTCCTCATTCCCTGACCTTCCTTCCTGGGATTCATCCCCTCATTCCCCCATCTTCCTTCCTGGGATTCATCCCCTCATTCCCCCATCTTCCTTCCTGGGATTCATCCCCTCATTCCCCCATCTTCCTTCCTGGGATTCATCCCCTCATTCCCCCATCTTCCTTCCTGGGATTTATCTCCTCATTCCCTGATCTTCCCTCATGGATTCCTCCTTTCATTCCCTGACCTTCCTCAGGAACCTCCTGGGATTCATCTCCTCATTCCCTGACCATGCCCAGGAATCTCCAGGGATTCATCTCCTCATTCCCTGACCTTCCTTCCTGGGATTCATCTCCTTATTCCCTGACCATGCCCAGGAATCTCCAAGGATTCATCTCCTCATTCCCTGACCTTCCATCATGGATTCCTCCCTTCATTCCCTGACCTTCCTCAGGAACCTCCTGGGATTCCTACCCTCATTCCCTGACCATGCCCAGGAATCTCCAGGGATTCATCTCCTCATTCCCTGACCTTCCCTCCTGGATTCATCTCCTCATTCCCTGACCTTCCCCAGGAACCTCCTGGGATTCCCTGACATTCCCCAGGTCAGGGAGATCCCTCTGCGGCTATTCCGAGTGGATCCCCCATCCCTAGATCTCATTCCCATCTCTCCAGGGGGATGCAGAGCACATCCCCAGTCCCAAGATCTTGTTCCAATCCCTCCAGGAGTTGCAGAGTAGATCTCTTGTTCCAAGATTTCGTTCCAAACCCTCCAGGGGTTGCAGAGGGGATCTTACCCCGGGATCTCATTCCCATCCCTCCAGGGGATGCAGAGTGGATCCCCTGCCCCAGGATCTCATTCCCATCTCTCCAGGGGTTCAGAGGGGATCCCCTGCCCCAGGATCTCATTCCCACCCCTCCGGGGATGCAGAGGGGATCCCCTGCCCCGGGATCTCATTCCCACCCCTCCAGGAGTTCAGAGGGGATCCCTTGGACTCCAGGATCTCATTCCCACCCCTCCAGGGGTTCAGAGGGGATCCTGCCCTGGGATCTCACCCAGGATCTTGCTGATGCTGGAGTTGTGCATGTCGGGGAAGGCCTGCAGGATCTTCCTGCGCTCGTCCTTGGCCCACACCATGAAGGCGTTCATGGGCCGCTTGATGTGGTTGTTGTTCCTGGACTCCGGGAAGTGCCGGGAGCCTGCGGGGACAGGCGGCAATGAGGGCAGGACAGGAGGACAGGGCCACCCTGGGGTCACCACCGCGCTCCCGGCCGTCCTCACCGTCCATCTCGCAGCTCAGCAGAGCCTCGTCCAGCCGGTGGCCGGGGGTCTCCTCCATCCGCTCCTTCACCGGGGAGGAGTCCATCCCGACGGGCTCCTGCAGGACAGCGGGGTCAGGAGCCAGCCCCCAGCCCGGGCACAGCTGGTGACCCTGGGGTGGCAGAGGGGTCGGTGACCACAGAGTGACCCTCACCTTGCGGTAGGGGCTGCTCAGGGAGCCCTCCATGGCGGCGCCGTGGCCGTGCAGCAGCTGCCGCGCGTCGTGGATGGCTTTGGTGATGGCATCGCCCTCTCCCAGGAATCCTGGGGGACACGGGCACCCGTCAGTGCCAGCGGCCACCCCGCTGACCACTCACAGCATCCATCAGTGCCAGCGGCCACCCCACTGACCCCCAGAGTACCCACGGACACCCGTCAGTGCCAGCGGCCACCCCGCTGACCACTCACAGCATCCATCAGTGCCAGCGGCCACCCCGCTGACCCCCAGAGTACCCACTCCATGGGTTCTTATCAGTGCCAGTGGTCACTCCACTGACCACTCACAGCACCCACCCCCATGGGCACTCATCAGTGCCAGTGGTCACCCCAATGACCCCCATAGGTCATGGGTCATGGGCCATGACACCCCCATGGGCACTCATCAGTGCCAGTGGTCACCCCACTGACCCCCATGGGCCATGACACCCCCATGGGCACTCATCAGTGCCAGTGGTCACCCCGCTGACCACTCACAGCACCCAACCCATGGGCACCTGTCTGTGTCATTGGTCACCCTGCTGACCACTCACAGAACTGACCCCATGGGCACCCATCAGTGCCAGTGGCCACCCCGCTGACCACTCAGAGCAGTGACCCTTACTGGCACCCATCAGTGCCAGTGGTCACCCTGATGACCACTGCTGACCATTCACAGCACCCACCCCATGGGCACTGATCAATGCCAGTGGTCACTCTGCTGACCACTCACAGCATCCATCAGTGCCAGCGGTCACTCTGCTGACCACTCACAGCACTGACCCTTACTGGCACCCATCAGTGCCAGCAGCCACCCCACTGACCACCCTGCTGACCGCTGCTGACCACTCAGAGCACTGACCCCATGGGCACTCCTCAGTGCCAGTGGTCACTCTGCTGACCACTCACAGCATCCATCAGTGCCAGCGGTCACTCTGCTGACCACTCAAAGCACTGACCCTTACTGGCACCCCTCAGTGCCAGCGGTCACCCCGATGACCACTGCTGACCATTCACAGCACCTACCCCATGGGCACTCATCAATGCCAGTGGCCACCCTGCTGACCACTCACAGCATCCATCAGTGCCAGCGGTCACCCTGCTGACCACTCACAGCATCCATCAGTGCCAGTGGTCACTCTGCTGACCACTCAAAGCACTGACCCTTACTGGCACCCATCAGTGCCAGCAGCCACCCCACTGACCACCCCGCTGACCGCTGCTGACCACTCAGAGCACTGACCCCATGGGCACTCCTCAGTGCCAGTGGTCACTCTGCTGACCCCCAGAGTACCCACCCCATGGGCACCCAGTGGTCACCCCACTGACCACTCCCAGCACCCACCCCATGGCCATCCCTCAGTGCCAGCGGTCACCCCGCTGCCCCCCACCGCCCTGCGGGGATGTCACCGGTGTCCCCACCCAGAGGGAGGCTGGCCGGGCTGCTCTGCAGCTCCCTGCTGGCCCCGTGGCTCGGTGGCAGGGACTGGCACCCGCTCAGCTTCAAACTGGGCGAACTGGAGGCACTGGGCAGCTCCGGACCTTTGGGTTTGGCCGTCAGGTTCAGCGGCTGCGAGGTCTCCTGAGGAGGAGGAGGAGGAGGAGGTGGGATGGCAGGTGAGGAGATGTCCCCAAAGCCCCACCCTGGGGTGTGGAGGGGCTTTGAGAGCTGTGCCAGGGGTTGGAGGGGTTTTTTTTGGGGTTGAAGAGTTTTTTGGGGCTATACCAGGGGTTAAAGGGCATTTTTGGGTTGTACCAGGGACTGAAGGGGTTTTTTGGGGACGTGCCAGGGGTTGAAGGGGTGTGGAGGGGCTGTACCAGGGTTTTTGGGGCTCTACCAGAGTTTGGGGGCTGTGCCAAGGGTTGAAGGGGATTTTTGGGGTTGTACTGAGGGTTAAAGGGCATTTTTGGGGCTGTACCAGGGACTGAAGGTGGTTTTTGGGGTTGTACCAGGAGTTTTGAGGGCTGTACCAGGGTTCTTTGGGGTTTTGGGGGCTGTACCAGGATTTTTGGGGTTTTGGGGCTCTACCAGGGTTTTTTGGGCTGTACCAGGATTTTTGGGGTTTTGGGGCTGTACCAGGGCTTTTTTGGGCTGTACCAGGATTTTTGGGGTTTTGGGGGCTGTACCAGGGTTTTTGGGGCTGTACCAGTGGGTTTTTTTGGGTTTTTTGGGGCTGTACCTGCATCTGGAGGTGGCCCGGGCCCGCGGGTCTCTTCAGCGTGGGGGGAGGTGGGCTGTGCAGGAGCTGCACCGGGTAATCCACTGCGGGAGCAGAGGGACAGCGGTTGGGGACACGGCCATGGGGACAAAGCCACCCCGCAGGGCCGGGACTGTGGGAACCCAGAGCTTCCCTCTGGCTGCCCTGGGACCCTGGCAGGGGTCAGGAACCCCCCTGGACAGAGCCCCCAGAGACACTGGCTGTGATCTCTGCCCATGGAAAAGAGTTTTCAATCTTACAGGATGAATTACCAGCTCTGAGTGTTTGATATAAGTAATAATTAAGTGTAGCACGGGTGCAAAAGTAAAATTTTAGGTTTCTAGATGAGGGGTCCAAAGGGGACAAGATGGAGGAAATTGGGTGTGCCTTGTCCTTTTCCTCCTTCTTCATGCCCTCCATGTTTCACTGTGGTGTTGGCATTTTTCTGTTGGTTCAGGCTGGGGACACACTGTCCAACGTAGGTGACAGATATTGGCACGTTATTGTAAATCCAGCACAGGTAGTTTCTGGTATTTAATGTTTGTACCATCCCACTGAGGGCAGAGCCCCACACGCTGCCCTGCAGGACAGAGCTGCGGCAGGGCAGCAGAACATGGTAGAGATAAACAGAATAAACAACCTTGAAACAGCACAGACCAATTATGGCTTCTGCTTTGGCTGTGGGGCTGACAGACAGAGACTTTCTACATTTCGGGATCATCAATCCCTCAGATTCCGACACGGGACAAGCCCAACTCACCCGGTTTGCAGGGGATGGGCTGGATGGGCAGGGCCAGCTGGGACTCGGGGGTGACCGGCAGGGGCTGGTGGCCGGGGCTGAAGGCGGGGATCATCACGTAGGGCATGTTGACCTGCTGGAGGGGACGGGGACACCGGATCAGTGCCACCGCCGCGAGGGCACGGCAGGACACGGCGTAGCTCAGGCAAGGACCAAACGCCTCGGAAGTGTCCCCGCCCGTGGTGGGTGGGATGGAACTAGATCATCTTCAAGGCCCCCTTCCAACTCAAACCATCCTGTGCATCAGTCTGGAGGGCAATTTTTGGGTTCTACCAGGAACTGAAGGCGATTTTTGGGTTGTACCAGGAACTGAAGGCAATTTTTGGGTTCTATCAGGAACTGGAGGCGATTTTTGGGTTCTACCAGGAACTGAAGGGGATTTTTGGGGTTGTACCAGGGTTTGGGGCATCTGTGCCAAGGGTTGAAGGGATTTTTTTGGCTGTACCAGGGATTGAAGGCGGTTTTGGGGTTCTACCAGGGGTTGAAGGGGTTTTTTGGGGGGCTGTACCAGGATTTTGGAGGCGATTTTGGGGCTGTACCAGGGTTCTTTGGGGTTTTTGGAGTTGTACCAGCGGTTTAAGGGTTTTTTTGGGGATGTAATAGGGGTTTGGGGGCTGTACCAGGATTTTGGGGTTTTTGGGAGGCTGTACCAGGATTTTGGAGGGGATTTTGGGGCTGTACCAGGGTTCTTTGGGTTTTTTGGGGTTGTACCAGGGGTTGAAGGGTTTTTTGGGGATGTACTAGGGGTTTTGGGGCTGTACCAGAATTTTTGGGTTTTTTTGGGGCTGTGCTAGGATTTTCGGGGGTTTTGGGGCTGTACCAGGGTTCTTTGAGGTTTTTGGGGTTGTACCAGGGGTTTAAAGGTTTTTTGGGGATGTAATAGGGGTTTTGGGGCTGTACCAGGGTTATTTGGGGTTTTTGGGGTTGTACCAGCGGTTTAAGGGTTTTTTGGGGCTGTACCAGGATTTTGGGGGGTTTTGGGGCTGTACCAGGGTTCTTTGGGGTTTTGGGGGCTGTACGAGGGGTTTTGGGGGCTGTACTGGTGTTTTTTGGGTGTTTTGGGGCTGTACCAGGATTTTTTGGGTTTTTGGGGCTGTACCAGTGTATTATTCTGATGCACAGAATTGGAATTACAATATTCTCTTCTTAGGTCAAGAATGTTGATTTGATTTCGGGGCCAAGATACTTGCAATATTTCAAACTCATTACCTGCTATTTTTATTTGTATGCACGCTTTGTCAGGTTAGGACAAAGTTTGTCTAATGGTTAGGAAACCATTAGAAATTGTTAGGAAAGAACAAACGTTAAAAGTAATCCAAACATAATGCAAAGAGCTTTTCTCTCCTTTTCCTAGAAGGTATTCTTTTAATAATTAACTCTTTTATAGAAGAAAGTCTTCGAGTTCACATTTTTCTAGGAGACAGGAAGTTGAGGTAACACGAAGAAAATATGTAGTGCTCAAATTAGAGTGAACCTCAATATCTGTTCCTTAGTTTGCTTTTTTTTTTTTGTTTTTAATGTTAGGAAGAGCCTAAATCCCTTGTAAATTGTCCTTGCATGGGGGAAATGGGCCCCGAGACCATCTGGTGGAAGACATATTAAAATAACGTTGGATTTATAATAAAGGATGTCTGTATGAGAGAAGAATTCTACTTTTATGGCATATATGGATAATGTGTCTATTAAAAGGCTTATGAGTTGCTACAGGACATACTAAGAAACATTTTTTTTTCTTTCTTATCTAGACAACTTTGAAAGGAGAGAGATTAAAAGCTGAACAGAGATATCTGAGTTAAAATTATGAAGATGGTTCACCTGCCAGGGGAGGTGCCCCTGCCCTTACCTGGATCTGCTGCTGCAGGAGGTTGATCTTGTGCTGCTGCTGGATGAGCTGCTGCTGCTGCTTGGCGATCTGGGGAGGGGACAGCGGCCTTGGTGACATCCAGGACAGCGCTGGGCTGGCCTCCAGCCTGGCAGAACCCATCCAGCACCACAGAAAAAGGGTGGCAGGGGGTCCCCAGGGTCGTGGGGAGGGCAGGAGGAGGGGCTGAGCTGCCCCCTGAGCCACCTCGAGGGACACAAGGGCTGTGTGCCACACCCCAGGTGTGACAGCGGTGTCACCCCTGCCCTTGGTGTGGGAATCCAGAGCTTCCCTCTCGCTGTCCTGGGACCCTGGCAGGGGTCAGGAACCCCCCTGGACAGAGCCCTCAGAGACACTGGCTGTGATCTCTGTCCATGGAAAAGAGTTTTCAATCTTACAGGATGAATTACAAGCTCTGAGTGTTTGATATCAGTAATAATTAAGTGTGGCACGGGTGCAAAAGTAAAATTTTAGGATTCTAAATTAGGGGTCCAAAGGGGACAAGATAGAAAAAATTAAGTGTGTCTTGTCCTTTTTCTCCTTCATGCCCTCCATGTTTCACTGTGGTGTTGGCATTTTTCTATTAGTTTAAGCTATAGACACACTGTTCAATGTAAATAATAAATATTAACACATTATTATCAATACAGCACAGGTAGTTTCTGGTATATAATATTGTAACATCCCACTGAGGGCAGAGCCCCACACGCTGCCCTGCAAAACAAACCTACAGCAGGGCAGCAAAACATGTTCTAGATAAACAAAAACAAACAACCTTAAAAACCAACACAAACAGATTATGGCTTCTTCTTTAGCAACAAAGCAAAAAAAACCCCAAAAATTTTCTACAATCTCAAAATCACCAATGCCACAAATCCCAACACTTGGGAGAGGAAGACCTGGCGCTGGAGGAGCAGGAGGCACCTGGGGCGGTTTGTTCCTCTTAAGGAGCTCAACCCCATCTCCATCCGCCTTTGGTCCACCCAGCTCTGAGGGTTTTGGGACATGAAGACAAAACGAGACCCCAAAACCACCGGTGGTCCCACAGCGATGCCCGGTGGGGTGACGGTGCCCACCTGCTCCTGCTGCTGCCGCGCCAGCTCCATCTGCTGCTGCTGCTTCTCGAAGAGCATGGTGGCCATGTTCTTCTGCTCCGAGTGCGCCGTCAGCAGCTGGTCCCGCAGCGTGGACAGCTGGTTGATCATCACCAGCAGCTGCAGCTCCTTCTCCGCCAGGCTCTCCTGGGTTCCTGCGGGGGGAAAAACCAAAAAAAACAACTGGGTTAATGGATCCCGGTCCCTTTTGGGGTCTCCCTGCCCCTTTTGGGGCGTCCCTGTCCTTTTAGGATCTCCCTGACACTTTTGGGATATCCTTGACCGTTTTAGGATGTCCCTGTCTCTTTTAGGATATCCCTGACCCTTCTGGGGTCTCCCTGCCCCTTTTGGGGTGTCTCTGTCCTTTTAGGATCTCCCCGACACTTTTGGGATATCCTTGACTGTTTTAGGATGTCCCTGTCTCTTTTAGGATATCCCTGAGCCTTTTGGGGTGTCCACGAACCTTTTAGGATATCCCTGACCCTTTCAGGGTGTCCATGGCCCTTTTAGGATCTCCCTGATCCTATTGGGGTCTCCCTGCCCCTTTTGGGGTGTCCCTGTCCTTTTAGGATATCCCTGATCCTTTTGGGGTGTCCGTGACCCTTTTGGCGTGTCCCTGTCCTTTTAGGATCTCCCTGTCACTTTTGGGATATCCTTGACCATTTTAGAATGTCCCTGTCTCTTTTAGGATATCCCTGAGCCTTTTAGGATGTCCGTGACCCTTTTAGGATATCCCTGACACTTTTGGGGTGTCCATGACCCTTTTGGGGCATCCCTGTCTCTTTTAGGATATCCCTGACCCTTTTGGGGTGTCCGTGACCCTTTTGGGGTGTCCATGACCCTTTTGGGGCATCCCTGTCTCTTTTAGGATCTCCCTGATCCTTTTGGGGTCTCCCTGCCCCTTTTGGGGTGTCCCTGTCACTTTTAGGATCTCCCTGACACTTTTGGGATATCCTTGATTGTTTTAGGATGTCCCTGTCTCTTTTAGGATCTTCCTGAGCCTTTTGGGATGTCATTAACCCTTTTAGGATATCCCTGACCTTTTTGGGGTGTCCATGACCCTTTTGGGGCGTCCCTGTCTCTTTTAGGATATCCCTGACCCTTTCAGGGTGTCCATGACCCTTTTGGGGTGTCCGTGACCCTTTTAGGATCTCCCTGACCCTTTCGGGGTGCCCATGACCCTTCTGGGGTCTCCCTGTCTCTTTTAGGATCTCCCTGACCCTTTTGGTCACTGGTGTCATGTAGGACACAGGTGACACACTGGTGTCATGTGGGACACGGGTGACACAGCGGGTGACATGGGAATGTCAGACTGGGGAGGGACAGCAAGATCCCCACACGCTGAACCGCCCCCACCCTTGAGGCAGCAGAGATGCTCACCTCCAAAAAAACCAACTAAAAAATGGATAAATCCTTGGGAAACGTGGATATTTCCCCTCCTGCTTTGGTCTCCCAGCTGGGACGCAGGAGGGAGGGTGGTGGAGGTGGATCCCACCTTTCACTTCCTTGGATTCAGCCGGGTTCCGACCTAGCAGCCGCTCCTTCCAGTCACTGGCCAGCAGCTTCTCGATGGTCGGCATCACTGGGGACGGGGACAGGGACAGGGACAGGGACAGGGACAGGGACAGGGACAGGGAGGAGAGGACAACCACATGAGCACATCAAGACTCTGCAGCACGTCTCGGTCCATCCCACAGCTCTGAGGGGCAGGGAAAGGATCCCAACAGGTCCCTCAGGAACGTTTCCCACCTTCCTTCAGGTTCCTGTTGAAGTCCAGCTTCTCCTGGCCGCTCCCGGCCGGCTCGAAGGCGGAGCGCCGGGGCTCGGGAACGTCCCCGGCGGGAGAGCGGGATTCCTGCGGGACACAGAATGTCACTGCCACCACCATCAGGGACACTCCCAGCGTGGGACATCCCCGTCGGGTGGGATGCTGGGAGCTGGAGCACGCCCTGCCAGGCACAATCCCGCCTAGAGCATCGTGGAGATGCCGGAATTTTCTCCCATTTCTCCATCTTGCCCCCGCTGTCCCCTGAGCTCCTCTCCCCTCTGGGAGCGGCCAGCGAGAGGGAAAACCCCAGGACAATGGAAAAGGGAGGCTGAAGGGATGGGCAACACCTGGAGGGGGTTGTTGGGGTCTCCACATCAAAGGTGAAGCCCGCAAAGCCCAGGGATGACCCCAGAGCAGCCTCAGGTCCACCATGGGCAAAGCTGAGCTCTTGTTCCAAATTTTCCAAGTTTTTGGGGCTCAATCCTCAGGGAAATCAACCCTTCACACCCTGGGACCTCTTGTTCTTGGTTTTCCAGTTTTTTGGGGCTCAATTTTTGGGGAAACCAACCCTTCACACCCTGGGACCTCTTGTTCCCAGTTTTTGGGTCTCAATCATTGGGGAAATCAACCCTTCTCACCCTGGGAGCTCTTGTTCAGAATTCTCCAGGTTTTTGGGGCTCAATCCTCAGGGAAATCTACCATTTACACCCTGGGACCTCTTGTTCCCAGTTTTTGGGGTTCAATCCTTGGGGAAACCAACACTTCACACCCTGGGACCTCTTGTTCCCGGCTCTCAAAGTTTTTGGGGCTCAATCCTCAGGGAAATCTACCATTTACACCCCGGGACCTCTTGTTCCTGGTTTTCCAGGTTTTTGGGGCTCAATCCTCAGGGAAACCAGCCCTTCACATCCTGGGACCTCTTGTTCCCAGTTTTTGGGGTTCAATCCTCAAGGAAACCAGCCCTTCACACTCTGGGACCTCTTGTTCCCGGTTTTCCAGGTTTTTGGGGCTCAAAAGAGCAGCCAAAAAAAACCTTGGGAGAACCTCAGATTTCAGTTTCAATTCCTCGGGATGAGGACAAACCACGCGGGGGAGCAGCCACCACCTCTCCCACGGGATGCAGGGTCTGGAGCAGGGCTGGGGACAGCCCCACCTTTGTCACACCCACCTGTGGCAGGGCCTGGGGCTCGGTGCCATCCCTGGGTGGTGGCCCTGGGGGGTCGTGGGGCCGGGGCTCAGCGCTGGGGGTGGCCCCTGGGGGGGTCTCGGGGCCGCCCTCCTTCTTCTCCTCTGTCTTGGCGGCGCAGTTCACCATGGTGCCCGCTCCATCCAGCTCCGGGGGTGGAGAGATGGGGCTCCTCGTGGACATCCTGCGGACAGCAGAGGCGTCACCACGGCCACCCTCGGGCGTGGGCACCCCTGTCCCAGCCTGGCCCCACACTGGGGTGCCCCACGGTGCAAGGACAGCAACTGGGGTTTGCCATGGGCAAAGCTGAGCTCTTGTTCCCAGCTCTCCAGGTTTTGGGGATCAATCCTCAGGGAAACCAACCCTTCACACCCTGGGAGCTCTTGTTCCTGGTTTTTGGGGCTCAGTCCTCAGGGAAACCAACCCTTAATACTCTGTGACCTCTTATTCCCAGTTCTCCAGGTTTTTTGGGGCTCAATCTTTGGGGAAGCCAACGCTTCACACCCTGGGACCTCTTGTTCCCAGTTCTCCAGGTTTTTGGGGCTTAATTCTTGCTTGTTCCCAGTTTTTGGGGCTCAATCTTCAGGGAAACCAACCCTTCACACCCTGGGACCTCTTGTTCCCAATTTTCCAAGTTTTGGGAGCTCAATACTTGGGGAAACCAACCCTTCACACCCTGGGACCTCTTGTTCCTGGTTTTTTGGGGCTCAATCCTCAGGGAAACTAACCCTTCATACCCTGGGATGGAGGAATGAATTCCTAAAGGCAAACCAGAGATCCCAGAGATTGGGAGTGAGGGACCTTCATGCCACATCCAGCAAGCCCAGGCGGGAAGGACCAGGACTGGCCACCAGAGCGGCTCCTCTGGGAGTCCTTAGCATAGGATGGAGCTGGGACTGGGTCTGGCCACCAGAACGGCTCCTCCAGGAACCACCAGCATGGGATGGGACAGGGACTGGCCACCAGAATGGTTCTTCCAGGAGTCCCCAACACGGGATGGACCTGGGACTGGGACTGGCCACCAGAACAGCCCCTCTGAGACTCCCTGGCATGGGAAATACTTGGGATTGGCCACCAGAATGGTTCCTCCAGGAGTTCCCATCATGGGAAGGACCAGGACCAGCCACCAGAACAGCCCCTCCAGGAGTCCCTGGCATAGGATGGAGCTGGGACTGGGACTGGCCACCAGAACAGCTCATCTGAGAGTCCCTGGCATAGGATGGAGCTGGGACCAGCCACCAGAATGGCTCCTCTGGGATTCCCTGGCACGGGATGGGACAGGGACTGGCCACCAGAACAGCCCCTCTGAGAGTCCTTGGCATGGGAAATACTTGGGATTGGCCACCAGAACGGTTCCTCCAGGAGTCCCCATCATGGGAAGGACCAGGACTCCTCCAGGAACCCCTGGCCCAGCACCAGCCAAGGCCCTGCCAGGACAAGGGGCTGGCCCAGGAATGGCTCTCCCAGATCCCACAAAACCCTTGTGGGTGCCCATCCCCATCCTGGTGCTGCCAGATGGGCGCCGCAGGAATGATGATGAGTTTTATAGGGAACGGGCTGTGCCACCCCAAAATATTGCTCAGTCCGGGTGCCAGGGATGCCAAGAGCGAGCGCCAGGGTCGGTGGTGCCCACGGGGCATTTGCTTTTCGTGGCCACCAAGCCTCACACCACACAGCAAGAACGGGAAGCAGCATTGTCCTCGCCTTTCCGCGGGAATAATGGGAAAAGGAGACAGGGAGGAAGGGATTGACTGCCCTGCCATGGGGACAGCACCTGCCTGGGGGCTGCCACCCCAAACCCAGCACCCTCTCACCTCCCAGACCCCATCAGGAGCCCCTAAAAGCGGTTTGGGGGTGCAAAGTGGGGTGGGGAGGGCTGAGCTGGGCCGCCCGGCTTGGGGGCAGCAATTACATAACAAACAAAGCCCGGCTCAAGCTGCGAATTAATCAAACGGCTGAAAATAAAACCTTCCTCTCAGGAACTTCAAACAAAAGAAATGAAAACAACAAGGCCGGCTGGGTAATGAAAAGCCAGGGCTGTGAATAGGGGACAAAAGGAAGTGGAACAATGGGGTGTTGGACAAAAGCAATAAAGTAAAGGGAAGTGTGACAGCTCCACAATAGGGCACTGTGCTCGCCAGCCTTTCTGATCTTAGCGGGCCTTTTTTTAATCTCGGTTCCCTCGCCCTCCGCCGAACAGACCCGCCGGGTTTCCTCCCGGCCCCGCATCGCCCCCGGGGGCTGCCGCATCCTGCGGCGCCCCTTCCTGCCCCGGCTCACCTTGGCCGGGGTCACCCGGTCCCCAAAATCCATCACCGGGAAGGACCGGACACGGCGGGAAGCTGTGCCCGCTGCTGCAAGATTTGGCCTTTTGGGGAGGTTATAAGTGGGGAAACTGAGGCAGGAATGCACAGCAGCTCAGGTGTGCGTGAAACTGCATTTTTTTCCCAGTTTTTTGGGTGTTTTTTCCAAGCAAAAATCCAAATTTTGTAGGTTTGGGATGCTGCGACAGCAGTACCGCGGGACCGAGCGATGGCTTCGGTTTGAGCCAGGCACAAAATCCCATCCCAGCCCTCCCGCAGGTCCCGTTCCCTTTGTGCTTCACCTCCCGGTGCCACTGGAAGCTCACTCTTCAAATGGGGCCAGCGCTTTAATGGGGCCGTGTTTGAAAGAGGCTTCCTTGAGGGTTCATTATCCACCCTGCCGAGCAAACAAAAAAAAAGTGGGAAAAGGGAAAAAGCGCTGTTATCTCCTCCCGGGCCGGTCTCAGGTGTGGGCTCCGGGGCTGCCTGGGGCACACAATGGGCACGGAACAATCGCCCTGGCACCGGCACTGAATGGGATCTTCTCGGTTTTTAATGTTCCCCATTAAACCCAGGGTGGGGAGGAAGGGAGGGAATGGGGTTGGGATGGAAAACGCCAGCCCAGAGGATGGAAACAGATCCCGAATCCTCACGGGATGCTCCCTTCCCTCACAGCTTTTTGGGGGTTAATCCCACAAACAGCAAAACCCTGAAATTCCCAGATTTCACCTTTCCTCCCAATCCCAGCTCGGCGACTCCAAGATTTTCGGGATGGTGGCAGCTCGTGTTTCCCTGTTCGTACCCGCGAACGGCACGTCCTGCAATTCTCCCGGTGGCCGTGCCACCCTTCCTGCCCGCCAGCCAGGCCTGATCCTATCGGCCCCGGCCGTGCGGAGCAGAACGGCTCCAGGGGCCGGGAAAAGGGGGTGAGGCGCCAGAAAAACCCCCCACCCTGCCCGGCAGCGGTTTGGGGATCTGAGAGATGCCAAAGTCCGGGTGTTGCAGGAGTTTGGGATCCAGATGTTGAGATCCCATCACTGCAGGAGTTTGGGATCCAGATGTTGAGATCCCATCACTGCAGGAGTTTGGGATCTAGACATTGAGATCCCACCATTACAGGAGTTTGGGATCCAGACGTTGAGATCCCATCACTGCAGGAATTTGGGATCCAGTTGTTGAGATCCCATCACTGCAGGAGTTTGGGATCCAGACGTTGAGATCCCATCACTGCAGGAGTTTGGGATACAGACGTTGAGATCCCATCACTGCAGGAGTTTGGGATCCAGTTGTTGAGATCCCATCAGAGTAGGAATTTGGGATCCGAGAGACGCTGAAATCCTGGCACCGCAGGATCTCAGCGATCCAAGAGCCACCAAGATCCCTCATCCCGTGTTCCATCACTGCTGCCTCTGAGCTCATCGTGAATCTGGGGACAATCCCACCCCGGGGACAGCAAGGAGACCCTCGGTGAGTTGGCTGGAGGAGCTGGCTGCCCAGATTTTCGGGATGGCCCTGCCCTCTCCTGCCCATCAGGTTGTCCCAGATCTCAGAGCTTTTGTTCTCCTCCCTCCCAAATCTCTCCATCCACATCTCTTCCCTTCAGGAGCCCAACATGGTGCCCAATCATCCCAAAAAAAACCCAAAAACCTCATCCCACCACCAGAACCCAGGAAAATGGGAGAAAAAATCCAAGGAGGAAACACCAGAGGAGCAACGCCGGCATGAGCGGCAGCCGCGACGCCCCTGGGAGAGGCCAGAGGAAAAAATAAAGACACACACGGAGATTTTTCCTCTTCCAGGCAGGACCTGAGGAATCCCGGCCGGCCACCGGGACAGACAATAGCCCATCTCCTGCCAGACGAGCGGGGCCACTTTCCTGCCAGACTTGGAATGTCCTTTCGGGGCCGCTTCCAAGCGTTTCCGCCCGGAGTGTCTTCCAAGAGAAAAGAATGGATGTTCGGCCGGGGATGGCCAGGGGTGGCCGATGTCCCTGGCTGGGGGAAGATCATGGGGCTGCTGTCCCTTCCCTGGGGATCCGGAGCATCCCGGGATTTGGGGTCGGTCCCTGGTGGCCGTGGGGGAGGTGGGATGTCCATCCGTGGGGGTGGGAGAAAGGTGGATGGGGAAATGCAAGACGCCAGGGTTTGAAGGTTGAAGGATATTTTTGGGGCTGTACCAGGGGGTTTTGGGGCTGCATCAGGCTTTTTTTGGGCTGTACCACGGTTCTTTGGGGTTTTGGGGGCTGTACTGGGGTTTTGGGAAATGATTTGGAAAAATGATTTGGAAAAATGATTTTTAAATCCCAAAAGGTAACAGGATGAGAATTTTCAGCCCCAGAAATGGCACCAGCACCACCGTGTCAGAGCCAAAGGCTTTGCTGGCTCTGAAAAATCCTTTTTTAACCCCAAAAGGCAACTGGATGAGGATTTTTAGACTCAGAAATGCCACCAGCAGCACGTGAGAGCCACAGAACCACGTGTCACTGCTCAGAGCCCGTGTCCCCTGCCAGAACTCTGCACTCAAGGTTTTCTGGTTCTGAAAAATCATTTTTTAACCCCAAAAGGCAACGGGATGAGCGTTTTCAGCCCCAAAAATGCCACCAGCAGCACGGGAGAGCCATAGCACAGCATGTCACTGCTCAGGGCTTGTGTCCCCTGCCCAGCCTGTGTCCCCAAGATGCTGGTTCTGAAAAAAACATTTTTTAAACCCCAAAAGAAAACAGGATGAGGGTTTTTGGAGTCAGAAATGCCACCACCACCATGTTAGAGCCACAGGGTTTGCTGGTTTAGAAAAATCATTTTTTAACCCCTAAAGGCAATGGGATGAGAATTTTCAGCCCCAGAAATGGCAGCAGCACCACTGTGTCAGAGCCACAGGGTTTGCTGGTTCTGAAAAATAATTTTTTAACCCCAAAAGACAATGGGATGAGCGTTTTCAGCCCCAAAAATGCCACCAGCAGCACATGAGAGCCACAGAACCACGTGTCACTGCTCAGAGCTTGTGTCCCCTGCCCAGGCTGTGTCCCCAAGGTGCTGGTTCTGAAAAAACATTTTTTAAACCCCAAAAGAAAACAGGATGAGGGTTTTTGGAGTCAGAAATGCCACCACCACCATGTTAGAGCCACAGGGTTTGCTGGTTATGAAAAATCATTTTTTAACCCCAAAAGGCAATGGGATGAGTGTTTTCAGCCCCAGAAATGGCAGCAGCACCACTGTGTCAGAGCCACAGGGTTTGCTGGTTCTGAAAAATCAATTTTTAACCCCAAAAGGCAATGGGATGAGCGTTTTCAGCCCCAAAAATGCCACCAGCAGCACATGAGAGCCACAGAACCACGTGTCACTGCTCGGAGCCCGTGTCCCCTGCCAGGGCTGGGTCCCCACCCCGCCACCCCACAAAGCAGCAGCGGAAACGCTCCAAATTTGGGCCCAACCCCATCCTCGGCCGCCTCCATGTCCTCGATCCCTGACCTGCACTCAGGAGCAGAAAAAACTCAAAGCTCCTCTGCCCAGAGAGCTCAGGGCACCAGAAAAGCTGAAAAATTTGCAGTGAGACGGGAGATTTTTGGTGGCCACAGGAAATTCGGGGAGGGGGATGCTCCGAGGGGCAGCAGGAGCACGATGGGGCAGCCAGGAATGGGATGGGAATCACCTGGCGGGTCCTTCCCAAGGGAAAATCCCCATCCCAAAGAGACCCCCAGACCCCAAATGCCCCTTCCCATCGTGGCCCGGCCTTTGGGGCGAGCAGGAGCTGGGATTTCCCGCTGCACCCCCAAACCAGGTGGGTGTTTGTCCATCCTCAGCTCCCTGAAGGAGATTTCTCCTTCTCCAAAGGACAAACGGCCTCTGGAAACATCCGGAAATGTCCCCACGGGTTCAGGGCATGGCAGTGACGCTCCGGTGACAGCGGTGGCACAGGAAGGAGTTGGGGTCACCCCTCTGCTTGTGCCACCCCCCGTTCTGCCAGGTCCCCATCCTGATGTCCCCTCCTCACCCCTGGAACTGTCTCAGCACTGCCCCGTTATGGGTTTTTTTTGGGGGGGTGCAGCATTAATTTTCCATCTTTTAAGATGGAAAGGAGCGATCCAGGTGCCCAGGTTGAATCCTAAAGAAATTACAACTATTTTTGTCAATTCTATCCCCCAAAAAATGTCCATTCTGGAGGCCCTCAGGGTTATTCATGAGGTGCACATTGCCCTGATTAATTCCTGCAGAGTTTTGGGGGCAAATCCGATCAAAAATTTCCCTCTTTCCCCCAAAACTTGAGGAAGAGGGAAATTAACAGGGAATCGTCCCTAAATTCTCTCAAATGCAAGGCAGGGAGGAAAAGGGGAATTCCCAGGCTGGGCCAAGGGGAAGAGGAGGATCTGGGAGGCTTCATGGGATGCTCCATGTGCTCCATCAGGGCTGTTTCCCATCCCCTATAAATCCCAGGACCCTGGTGTCCCAGGAAATGGGATGAGGACTAAACTGCAGATCAGCCTCTGCCCCCAGCGGCCCCATTCCTGCTTTTCCCATGGGATTGTCCCTCCTGGCCAAATCCAACCCATCCCCTGGGGCTTGTCCTCCCCGTGTCCTGCAGGATCCAGGGGGGCAGGAATGGGGAAACAAAGCCCCCAACAAAGCCTGAAAAGGACGAGTCAACACCCACACATTCCCTGTGGGTTCTGGGATCAGGGTCTGTGCCCCACACATCGCTGGGATCCATTGGATCCATGCCCCACACATTGCTGGGATCAGGATCCGTGCCCCACACATCGCTGGGATCAGGGTCTGTGCCCCACACATCGCTGGGATCAGGATCCGTGCCCCATATATCACTGGGATCCATTGGATCCATGCCCCACACATTCCCTGTGGGCACTGGGATCAGGATCTATGCCCCACACACAACTGGGATCAGGAACCATGCCCCACAGCTCACAGGGATCAGGATCCGTGCCCCATACATCCATTGGATCCATGCCCTACACATCACTGGGATCCATTGGATCCATGCCCCACACATCGCTGGGATCAGGATCTGTGCCCCACACATCACTGGGATCAGGATCTGTGCCCCACACATCACTGGGATCAGGATCTATGCCCCACACACAACTGGGATCAGGATCTGTGCCCCACACATCGCTGGGATCAGGATTTGTGCCCCACACATCACTGGGATCAGGATTCGTGCCCCACACATCGCTGGGATCAGGATTCGTGCCCCACACATCGCTGGGATCAAGATCTGTGCCCCACACATCACTGGGATCAGGATCTGTGCCCCACACATTCCCTGTGGGCACCAGGATCTGCTGGATCCATCCCGGAGCTCTGGGACCCATCCCGGTGTCCCTTTGGGTGGAGAATTCCCGTCTCCCTCTGCTTTCCCACTACTCCAAGGGGATTTTTCCTT